GCCATACAGCCCTGAACAAATCTTCTTGTCACTTGCGTTTTAGTTAATTCCTCTGAGCGTTTGTGAATAGGAGTCATTCACGAAGAGTCTTGCGTTCGCTTAAAGATGTGTAGGTGGATTCTTGTTTTGCAAAGAACTGTGTTAATGCTTCAGTCACTAGGTTATGGGAGCACATAAAAGAGACTCTGTAAAAACAGGTAATTAATCTGTTAATTTCGGTCCATTCTCTTTCTTGCTCTTCCCTCCCCTCCTCCCTGCCATTCCTGAAATCACTAAAACGTTTTCAAAACCCATCTTTGAAGTGGTAGATAATGAGCTGAGCTCTGTTAGTAAGAGTGGGAAGGGTTTATTCCAATTTCAGCAAAGTTTTACCATGCAACGTGCATGCAGTAATTATAACTTGGTTCTTCATGCTTGAGAACTTACAGCTCAGGGCAGCAGTCGTGATCTTATCAGCATTTTGTAGTACAACAGTTTTCTTTATAATAGCATCTGTTTCACTTCCTAAGGCTTAACTCTACCCACAAAAGGAATTTCGGTGGATTCTGTGATAATCCTGAAATTGCTGCCCTCGTACCTTTCCATTGACTCGGTGCTTTCAGTTAACCCATGGGGTAGAGGAGGGGCTTTCTTTTTCACCGCAACGTTTAGCCTAGCGCCTTAGTGGATATTTCAGCAGATTTCAGTCGGCCTGAAATCTTTATCAAAACTCCAGGCCTGCAGCAAAGAGGTGGGTGCAGAACAAGCTTGAATTTCAGGGCCAGAAGTCGTCCCCTTTTCTTTTACCTATGAAAACTTCAGCGGGTTCTCTCCAGTTTAGCGTCTGTCCTTTGAGTACAGCTTTGTAGTGTGATAAAACCTGCTCAGGTTTTAGCTGAGTCCCTCTCAAACAGCCCTATGAAACCGGGGTGGGGGAGAAGGAAACGGCTTGTAAAAGGGACTAGAGCTGTTATGGTATTGGTAAGAAATTGGAAATGTTCGTACCTACTGCCACCATGATCTGTGCAACCATAATGGGAGAAGGAAACACTGAGATGTTTCTTTGGTTGCCTTGAAAGTTCACCTTTGTTTAGAAGTTTTGATCCTTTGGAAAACTAGTTTTTTTTTCTCGAGTTTCTGGGCATGACAGACATTTGAGGTGGTGATATATGAGTGGTAACTGTCCTACAGACACGAATTTGGGCTACTCGTTTGTAAGGTTTTGTCCCGAAAAGAACAGATTGGGAGAGGCAGGGAAGTGTTTGTCATTCCCTCGTCCATCTCCTTGAAAACTCTTTGTTTTTTGACGAAAGGGTTAACCTCTAGCTTTTGAATGTGGGATTGGAAACCAAAATTGCTCTGGACATCTGAGCTTCCCTCTAATAAGATATTCCAGGTGGTTAGGGAGTAATCCTAAAATAGCTCCAGATATAATTGCTTCTAAAGTCAGGCCTACAGCCTCTCGGGAGGCGCTTTGATGGTTTCCGAGGTGTGTCGAGAGCGCGCGGCGAGGCTCCCGGGCTCCGGAGCTGGCCTGCAAACACAGGGATCCCTTACCAAATTCTCTGCCTTCCTGCTAACGCTTGGCATCGGAGCATCGAGCTGAGACAGTGCTGCTTCTGGTGGCTTTTTCTGAAAGAAACTTCAGCTCGGTTCTGGCCTGCGGTAATGCAAGAGCTGTGGAAGCGGCTGTTTGTCAAACACCAGTAAATTCCCTTGATACAAAGCGGTGGAGGGAGAGGCAGGTTTCTCCCCAGAGAATGACCTGCCTCTCTGAACAGTGTTTTTTTTTTTTTTTTCCTTCCTGCTACTATTGCCTGACTTATACAAAGGTCTCTTAATGACTTGTGAGGATATATTGATTTCTCAGGTTCCTGCTGTTGGTGCAGAGGAGGGCTTCTCAGCGCAGGGGAACTTTGTTTTCCTAGGAGGGCTGGAAAGGAAGTTTGCTATCAAAGCTGCCTCTGAGCTCTGTTGCTCTGTAAAAAGCCTTCAGCGTTGCGTGGAGGACCTCTGCAAGGCTCTGTACTGATTTAGCGGTTCCAGTTGTGCTGGAATCGCTGGCAGTAGTGTGGGGATAGCTGTCATGTGAGATCCACTGAAGTTTCAGAGATTGTGTCGACTGTAGATCTAGGGCCATGTTGCAGGACTGTTCTAAGAGCCGTCAACGTTTGGTGTCTTTGGCTGTAGTCTTGGCACGGACCCAGGGGTTTTGGTGTGCAGAATAGTCAGGCTCTCAGGATGAAAGCCGAGGCCAGGGAAAGTGTCTGTCAGTGCTTGCGCTCTGCTCCCTGCGTAAATGAGGCTTTATTCCCCGACTGCTGAGCTGACGTTTTACGCTAGCCCGAGACTTCACTAACTCTGCTATCAAAACCAAAAAATTGCTCTCTGTCTTCATGTCTCTGCTGTGCAGTGAGAAGCAGTGCTGGTGGCAGGCAGTGGAGAGGCCTGAAAACATTTCTAGCCTGTAATAAAAGGAGCAGAGCCTGTGGTAGAACTTCTTTTGGCCTGGTGGCTGCAGAGGTTCACCGGGCATAGTCACAGATGTGCTTTCAAAGCAGGTGGAATGACTGAAGGTGTTATCCCTCGTCTGCCAGAGACCACAGCCCATACGGGGCCGCTGGAATGGGTCGGCGGGAAGGCAGCTGAGTTGTTTCAACGCGCCCTTGCTGATGATTTACGCCAGAGCGCTGGGCTGGATGAGGTGTGGTCTCCTTATCTATCTCCTTATGGCTTTACTGTGGGGCCACCTTTCCTGCTCCTTCAAGAGGAAACATTAATACTACCTGCTGTCTCGGTCGCCTAAGATCACTTGTCGTCATGCCAGGGGACGTCGATCTCTGCCAGCTCTTTGGACGCGTAGGGAAGCCCTGTGATGAAGGTCAGCTAGCTTCTATCTCCTTTTGCCTAGTTAGATGTGGGGGAAGCATTACCTTTGCGCTCTTGAACATCTCAAGATGTAGATATGGAAAGCAGTGCACGTACGTTCTGCTTGTTATTCAGTGTACCAAACTTTAACGATCCTTTGATTTATTTCTAACTACAGTTTTCCTTCAAAGGAAACAAGAAAAATAACTTTTGAAGAACCTTGAAGTCTGTGGACAGTTTTGTTCCCTGAATTTTTTATCAAGTTCAAACCCACGAGCAATAGAGAATTGCTCTCTTGTTTAAGCCTCCTTTTCCTCCCTGCCCGTGTCCCCCCATCTATAAGAATAAAGCTCTAAGCGTGACCAAAGTTCCTTGTGAATGCAAGTGTTCTGCTTCTTGGAGTACCCAGTTTAGTTTTTGATGCCATGAGCGGGGTTTTGCCACTTGAATTTGCAACTAAGTGTAAACTTCACAAGAAAAGAAAAACCTTCTCCTTCTAAAAATCATGTTGCCTTAGATTATCAAATTGAGGATGCAAAGTAATTGTTGCCTTCTGAAGAGATTAGCTGGTATATTTTATTCTGACTCTTCACATATGTTTGTTGATCTGAGCTAACTGGCTTCCTATCAGTGAGGTTTTAGGAGCAGCTGGATGTTACCATAATTAGCAAAAAAAAAAAAAACCTGTGTTTTTAATCTCTGGTGGCAAAGGACACCCAGATTGAATCCTCCTGTGAACAAAACTGGTCTTCAGATCTCTTCCTAGAGAGGGCTGGGAATTGATCTGCTGTAATAAACAGCTGACATAACAGAAGTGGCAATAATCCCCCATTAAATA